TGAAAGGAAGTTTATAGGTGTGTTTTTTTAAACAACCGAACAACATCATGGCACAAGGGTAGTAACCCATAAGTGCTCCATTCTACTTCTAACCCTGAGTCTGAAGAATTTCAGCGCAGTGCACGAACTCCATAGCACCCGCAGGAATTCTGAAATACTTTCGGTAGATTTTCAACTCCACATTTTGCCCAGGCAGCGCTGTTAGGCTACTCTTCTCAATTTGAAATTGCCAAGGGATTTTTTACGTGCGCAACTATACATACAGGCGTCCGATCTTACTACCCAGAGACCACAGGAAATTACTAGTCCACGTGAAAAAAATCCCAGCCTTCACCGGGGCTGGAACCCTGGACCTCCAGCACTCGAGGCAGACGCCATACCTCAAGACCACTCAGCTCTCCAGGGCTGTGTTCCTAACATAGGAAGTTTATAGTCCGCAGGAGGTCGGCCAGATCTCAAAAGACGGCTGTGAGGAAATATACAAAATGCTTTTTTGTCTGGGAAGAAAGGCATCGAGAAAGGGAGATCATCCCATCATCTCATTTTGCTATAACCCCATACTGAAGCCCTAGGATTACAAACCACACCTGAATCTGTCAAAAACCACCTCAACATTCTTAAAAACATCTGTCTGCAGTTTGGAATGCCTGTTACAATGTTAAAAACAGTAGTAAGGAGATGTGCTTCAGACAAAGCTAATGTTTCTTCTTCTTCGTTTACCAGGTGTAAGCTGTGGCAGTGGAAGACCTCGGAAAAAATGGAGTGATGGCATTAAGAACAGTCTTTCAGAAATAAACATCAGTCTTAGTGCTCTTGACAGAGCTCATCAACGAACATTACATCTCCCCCTAACACTTCCATGAGGTACAAGGTGGAAGAGAAAAAGAAGGAGCTCCGGCAGAAAGTCCTAGTTGTTCGTTAATTTGGGCTTTGGCTTTGTGCCAGGGCCTGAGTTTTGCGTGTCCATCTGTTTTACTGGGTTATTGGTGTGCAGTTGGATGTTCCTTGCTGCTTGGGTAGATGCCCCCTGACTTTGAAGGGAACCCCAATTAGTCTACTCCTACGACATGCTTGCTGGAGAGGCAGTGGGTCTATTCTTGTTTTTCAGAGTATAGGGCCCCACAACCCACACGGGGAAAGCTATGTTTCAGCTTTCAGTGATAAAACTAGATGCTGTACATTCTAGATACTAACGTTTCAAAAACTGCTGCAGCTTCTGGCACTACTGCTGATCCAACATAGAGTTAGGTAACTGGAGGATCCAGTTAGACGGCACAGCTCCAGGTACAACAGTACCCAGGGCATCGACCTGGTTCAGTGATGTGACATCACCGGTGACCGGAAGATCAGTTACTGATGTATAATCTGGTAAATTCTCGGGCCACGCCAAGGTGAAGCCGGGGAGGTTCTGTATGGGTTGCTGTGTCTGCTGATCCTGCTGTAGGTTTTCTTGCTGCTGATAATGACACTGATGTATTTGCTGCTGAGTGGTTAGCAGCCCATTCTGACTTTGTGGATTGTCAACTAAACTTGATACAAGACTCACACTGGGTCCAAGACCCAGGCTGGATCCAACATCAGTATTCTTAATTTGGGGTATGACTCGTCTGGGCACATCTTTCACATCTGAACCAAGTAGTACACTGGATTTGTCTAGCACTGGCAACTGGCCTTTAGTCTGGCTGTTGAGCAGCCGAGTCAGTGTTGAATTGCTGACAGAAGCTGTTGCATAGCAATGATCTGGATTAGAGATGCTAGTGTTGAATGCAAGGGAAGCTGTGGCATAGCAATGATCTGGTTTAGAGACGCTAGTGTGGAAAGCATGGCTTCCTGAATGCACCAAGTTATTGGCCTCAGGCTTAAATCCAAGATGCTGCAGGTCGGACTGTGTTTGCTGCTGGGATGTCAATTTGTAGTCTAGCGATGGATCTTTGATGACAGTCACCTGTAGTGGTTTGTTCATTTCAAGGACTTGGCGGGAGCCTAAAATGTAGTTTTGTCCACCCACAGTGATAATGTTGACATAGCTGGAGATATCCGGCGACTGAGGTATACCTGTGAGGCTGTTCAGGATATCCATGGACATGCCATGGATCATGGGTGTTACAGACCGTGTCTGGACCTGCTGCTGTAGCTGCTGCAGCTGAAACTGTTGTTGCTGTTGCTGCACTTGTTGCTGCTCTATTTGAATTGCCTGCTGGTCATGCTGAATCTGTTGCTGTGTGCCTTGCTGCTGGATATCTGTTGGCAGCTGGTGGGGATCTGACATAATCTGCCCTGGCAAGTGATTAGGCAATTTTATAGACACTGTCTTCATGAGATCTGTAAATGGCAACTGTCGTTCCTCCGATCCATACAACATGGTCTGTGAGGCCGTTGGCTGCAAAGCTGCTGGGTAAATAACCGTATATGGTCTGGCCGCATTCTGGTCACTGGCATTTACGTTTTTCACCAGCTTCAATGGATATGGATCTGACTGCTGCTTGTAGACCAGAACAGTCTGCTGCCTCTTAGGGCTCAAAGGAACAGAATGTGGCTGTGAATTCTCCTTTGGGATAGCCTGATTCTGCAATAAACTTACCAGCCGATTCTGTGGACTTTTAGTGATAACAACAGTACTGGAGTTTTCCTGGATATTATCCTCAGCACCATCACCAACTGGTGCAGGGACGCCGCCTGGCTTTCTTGTCTTCTCTGTGATGTTCCTGACTTCTGCTACACCCCCCGGATGAACTGTCTTCATGTGATAGTCCAGGAACTCTTTCTTCTTGAAGACCAGCAAGCAGGTTGTGCAGCCAAATAGGTTGTCTTTCAGCTGGCTTTCAAAAAATTCCTCCTTATGTTTTGCAGTATAATGACGGCGTAAATGATCTTTTCGGACAAATGTCTGTGGACAGTGCTCACATAAAAAGTGTCTGAGGGCATAAACAAAACAAAATTTATTAATATAAATATAAATAACAGCTACAAGAAATAGAAACAAACTTTTAAAAATCTGCAAAGAAAACAATAGATAAAAGGAACTACAGGAACTGGGATAAAAATACACAAGTGTAGATGATATCCGCTATAAAACAGAGAATGATCACTAATACAGTCATGAATATGTCCCAGAAAAAATCTCAGTCTTCTTCTCATCCGTATCTCCACATTACATCACTGAGGTGCTGGGGAAAATGTAATCATCTTGTGCGTGCTCTTTCTAATCTGTTAAGTAAGTTGATCTTCATTTCCTTGAGACTGTTCTGAATGGTGTTGTTCCATGTTTTGCGTGGTCATCACTTTGTTCTGAGACTGTTCTGAATGGTGTTGTTCCATGTTTTGCGTGGTCATCACTTTGTTCTGAGACTGTTCTGAATGGTGTTGTTCCATGTTTTGCGTGGTCATCACTTTGTTCTGAGACTGTTCTGAATGGTGTTGTTCCATGTTTTGCGTGGTCATCACTTTGTTCTGAGACTGTTCTGAATGGTGTTGTTCCATGTTTTGCATGGTCATCACTTTGTTCTCAGTTCATTGTATTTCTTTAGTGTGGCTTTCTGTGGCAGTCGGTGACAAAGCGTTCTCATCATACGACTAGAACTGTGACTCCTTTTTTAGCCTTTGCCACACTGAGCATATAGTCAGGCCTATATTTTTACAAAGTAATCTGCACTCATTGGGTGATGTGTTCAACAACACCCCTGCTGCCTTTACTTCCCATGACATTACCTGCTACCTGATTAAAATCCGACCCCTAGACTTCCCGGCTGACAGGCCAGTGTCTAGCTGCCAGACTCACCCACAGTACACAAGATGGCAGGGGAAAGAACGACTTTCTGGTGTTATTTTTATTCAATTCTGCAAAGAATCTACTTCATGATTATACAGTAAAACCTTGTTAACATGAACTTGCTCAAGAAGAACATTCAATTAATAGGAACAAAATTATTACCACAGCAGGGATGTGTTACTATCACTCCCAGATTAGCACCAAGTATTGTAACACGATTCTTCATTTTTCAGTTCCCTAGTATTTGTGTAACTATCACTGCCAGATTAGCACCAAGTATTGTACCACGATTCTTCATTTCTCAGTTCCCTGGTATTTGTGTAACTATCACTCCCAGATTAGCACCAAGTATTGTAACACGATTCTTCATTTTTCAGTTCCCTAGTATTTGTGTAACTATCACTCCCAGATTAGCACCAAGTATTGTACCACGATTCTTCATTTCTCAGTTCCCTGGTATTTGTGTAACTATCACTCCCAGATTAGCACCAAGTATTGTAACACGATTCTTCATTTCTCAGTTCCCTGGTATTTGTGTTGACAAGGATTTACTGTAAACACTTAGCTGGTTAGACAGACACACCAATATAAAAGCTTATCAATAATTCACAGTCAGGTGGCAATATTACATACACTGATAGGACTGTAGTGAGAGTTAAAAACAGTTGAGTGGGGTTTTATCGCAAAAGTGAACAGGCACAGAATCCATACCTCAAAAGACTGATTCAACGGTTTTGAAAAGGAATGGGGGGTGGGGGGCAGAACGAACGCATGAACAAACAAACAAACTTTATTTTTAAAGGGTTAAGAATTGAGCACGCAGGCCCGTCTAACATTCTGCCCTTCCACTCCGCTCCTTTCTTCAAATTTTTCATCTGCACATCAATTCATAGTTAATAATGAGAATAATAAGAATAATATTAATAATTATTATTATAAAAAGAGGAATACAAAATTAAAAATTTAAGAATTATAGAAATTTTTTGTGTTTAATATCTAAGTCTCAATTACAAATGCTGGAATGTGACAGGAAGATACCCAGCATTGGTGGGGGAATATACACACATTTTTTATCAGATGCAGCTGGTACTATAAGTATGTCGACTCTTTGTTAGCCACTGAGGAAGGAGACTGAGCACGTGTGGGAATGTCCCGAGTGCTGTAACTAATGCCCTGTATATGTGATGATAAAAGAAAAAAGGACTGAAAGGAAGAAGGAAAGATATCTGACCTTTCTTTGTCGTGGGTGAGCATATGCCTCCGGACTTCCTTGGCACTTGTGAACAGCTTCTGGCACAGGCCACAGCAGTGTTTCTTCTGCCTCTCTGCCTCCTTTTTGTAGCGATTGTGGGTGTTGACATGTACTTTCAAGTCTTCCTTAGATTCAAACTTTGTGTCACACACCAAACATGTCAGAGAGTCCCCTTCCTCCGCCTCATGCTTGGCCATGTGGAATGTCAGGCTGGTCCTGAAAATCATTTCAAAGATAACCATTTTTGTAGGCGCAATTAATTTCAAAGATAACCAATTTTGTAGGTGCAATTAATTTCAAAGATAACCATTTTTGTAGGAGCAATTAATTTCAAAGATAACCATTTTTGTAGGTGCAATTAATTTCAAAAGCTAACCATTTTTGTAGGTGCAATGAATTTCAAAAGATAACCATTTTTGTAGGTGCAATTAATTTTAAAAAAAAAACAATTTTTGTAGGTGTAATTAATTTCAAAAGATAACCATTTTTGTAGGTGCAATTAATTTCAAAGATAACCATTTTTGTAGGAGCAATTAATTTCAAAGATAACCATTTTTGTAGGTGCAATTAATTTCAAAAGCTAACCATTTTTGTAGGTGCAATGAATTTCAAAAGATAACCATTTTTGTAGGTGCAATTAATTTCAAAAGATAACCATTTTTGTAGGTGCAATTAATTTAAAAAAAAAAAAATTTTTGTAGGTGCAATTAATTTCAAAAGATAACCATTTTTGTAGGTGCAATTAATTTCAAAGATAACCATTTTTGTAGGTGCAATTAATTTAAAAAAATAACCATTTTTGTAGATGCAATTAATTTCAAAGATAACCATTTTTGTAGGTGCCATTAATTTCAAAAGATAACCATTTTTGTAGGTGTAATAAATTTAAAAAAAAAAAAAAACCATTTCTGTAAGTGTAATTAGCTGCAGATTTTTTTTTTTCAAATGTTATTATTTTACAGTATACGTAGTTGAGCTAAGGAGCTGGCTGAGTGATTAGACCTTGGGATCTTTCCTGGAAGACCCAGGTTTGAATCCTCAGTTAGGTGATGGACATTTTCTGTTGGAGATTAAAAAAACTAACCCTAACCTGCATGGTTTGTGGTGACCTTAATAGCAACAGCAATACGGACCAAAATTCTCCGGCTTAAAACCCTATTCCCCCCCCCCCCTCTTTGCCCATCTAATCAATAAGTTGAGTAGAAGACATCACAGCACTCAGGGCAGTCCTGTAGCCTGTCCGTCCACATCTTCAGCAGCCAATGCAGAGTTCCAATACTAATGGTGAAAGTAGCAGTCTGATAATATGTCCGTCTTGCCTTTCCTCTGAGCATGGAGTATCGGCAAGATTCCCTCGACAATTCCCTGCATCACTCTCACCAGGCTGTGGTCCGCAGCAAAGTGGTCAAGCCGATCGCCTCACGCTCTGAAGGTCATGGGCTCCTTTTACAGCTGCAACCTTAGTTCACGAGAATGTAATTTTTATGGAGATACCTGGGGACCGTCGCCGGAGTCACAGAGTTCCTGTTCTGTGCAACACTCTTGGCAGACGGCTAGCCATTGTGAAGAGAGACAGCCATATGGGATAAAACCTGGCGCAGTAAAGTCGATCCTCTCGACTTTTAACCTTTTTTTTAAGACTGTGATGATCAATTGTCAATTCAAAATTGAATCGTTGCCAGAGCTCTGGAGCATGTTCTCTGCACAACCTGGTTGAATACCCTTGCATGATAAGGCAGATGTAGTTAAGACCTTATGGGAGTATGTGACTAATTTGGAATAAAGAATTTATCATCTAATCATCATGAGGGTGAAGAGATGATGAATACTATAAAGGATTTACAACGAGAAAACTTGATTCAATATACATAGAATGTTTTTTTTTACCGAAACACCGGGTAAATGATGTTAGTTCCATGTTACAGGGTCTCACGTGGATATACTATCCAGAATGTTGTTGAATTAAAAAACGACACCACGGCACTCGGGACACTCCCATAAGTGCTCAATCCCTATCTTCAGCAGCAAGCGAAGAGTTCCAATTCCAATGGTACTAGAAACCGTCTGATTGTATATCCGTCTCATCCTTACCCTGAGTGTTGAGTGTCAGCCAGATCCCCTAGTAACTTCTCGCAGCACCATTCTCCTTAGACCATAATGATCTATCTGCGCCTCCGCAATGTTTACTAACTCCCAAAGGGCCCTCACAATATCTAACTTGTCATACATCAATTCACCAGTAAGTGGTGTAGAGCCAGCCAGTCCATCTGACTGCTCATTTCCCAACACATCGGCATGACCTGGAGAAAATATCCAAAGGATGCTAACTACCCAGGACCTCTGAACTGATGCTTGCCACTCTGCACGAAGCATGCCTGTTTTTACTTTTCTCAACATGTGAGTCAGTTACAATCACAGCATCTGTGTACAGCTGATTCTCAAGTCAGCGGAAAGCAGCAGAGACTGCCTCCACCTCCATTCTCAAACTAGACATTGTGATTTCATTTGCAAGACTTTGTTGCACTAAGCGACGTCCATTCACCTTAGCTATGAAACCCCATGCACTTCGTCCGCCCCTCAACACAGATCACCCACTGGGAGCCAAACTGGCTTATGAAAATATGAGTTTGGCCTCATGTTGACTGAAGCATGATGGGCATCAAAAAGGGTCTTTTACTTTCTACAACCTGGAAATATATGAGAGGGCTTGAAATGAAAACCTTCTCGGCCAGATGAAGAGGTACAGCAGTTGGTGCAGGAGTGGTTACACGTGCGACCAAGAGAATGTTTTTTTAAAAAACTGGAATCCCATCACTTTATCAGCACTGGAGGACTTGCATTGAACGCAGCAATGACTGCATTGAACAATGATATATACGTTATTCACATCTGCAGAACATATCCCTATCTCCCATTTTTTTTTTAAATGTATGAATGTTTAAATTTGCTCAAGGAGAATTCAAACTGTCACCCACTGAGGAGGAAGGCAAGCCTCTATGCTACCATGGCTCACAAGGAAAGGGGTCTTGAAGAATAAACAGAAATAGAAAGACAAAAAACCCACACACATACACACAAGCATGCACACACATAAGGTAGAGCAGAGAATCCAACAGGTTACATACAAGCCTATAGAGACAAACGTATAACATACTTATAAAGGTAGGTCTTTCCACAGATTGTGCAGGAGAATTCCCCTCTGTTGCCATCATGGACCAGTAGATGATTTTTCAGGTGATCAATTCGGTTGAAAGTACTTGGACAAAACTTACAACTGCATTCGAACAAAAAAAACCATATTGAAATTGTGATTTAAAAAACCTGTTCAACCCATCTGGGTTAAAATAAAAAATATATATATCTGTGTGTGGGTCTTTTTTAATATTTTTTATTCAACTGCACAAGTAACAACACAGAAAACATAAAAATAACCTTACTGTTGAGACATTTTTCACTGAAATTAACTACAAATGCTAATAAGCAAGTTCTGAAAATGCTTTTTTTTTCAAGGACACTGTAATACGCAAAAAGGTAACATTAAGCATCTGGTATAATGAATACAGTGGACATAGAAGCTTCTTCCTTGATCAGAATCTATTGCATCTTTGTATGCTCAGTGCAGAAGCATGTCACTGGATCCACTAACTAATAGGTCAGCCAATATACTAACAATTGTTTTGTTCATCCTTTGAAGTTGGAGTGCATATGTCCGAGAAAGGCGAGGAACCAACAGCCTGTATAAAAAAAGCCCCGATATGTAGAGTGGTTCTGCACATCTCTCGAACAAGACCAAAGTCTGGAAGTGGACGAATCTAGAACTTTCTACTGGAGTCTACTAGTGAACGTGAAGAAGACGAAGAAGATACTAAAAAGATAAGTCTCAGAACATAATTTTTATTCTCATGTCAGACTGGCTATAATACACCAAGAAGAAACAAATGGTACTAAGCCAGTAAAACGGTTGTACACGCAAAACTCAGGTCCTGGTAAAAGCCAAAAGTTCAAGCTGACGATTAACCAGGACCTTCCGCTGGAATTCACAGCTGGTGAACGAAGAAGAAGAAATGGTACTACAAAGGAAAGGTGTACTATATCACACTGTACAGTCTAGATTTATTAGCACTGTATGCAAACAGCTCAACAAGAACAAGTGAACAAACACCAGAATGGCAACCAAAGTTGTACACTGCCCGGGTTCTATCACACACGTCTGTCTTACATGGGTATCTCACGGCAAGTTCACATGAAAAATGAGCTATGAGTCTCATTTAGTTGGCTTGTTTATGCTATTACTAATGAGCTATGAGTCTCTTTTAGCTGGCATGTTTATGCTATTACTAATGAGCTATGAGTCTCTTTTAGCCGGCATGTTTATGCTATTACTAATGGGCTATGAGTCTCATTTAGCTGGCATGTTTATGCTATTACTAATGAGCTATGAGTCATTTAGCTGGCATGTTTATGCTATTACTAATGAGCTATGAGTCTCATTTAGCTGGCATGTTTATGATATTACTAATGAGCTATGAGTCTCTTTTAGCTGGCATGTTTATGCTATTACTAATGAGCTATGAGTCTCTTTTAGCTGGCATGTTTATGCTATTACTAATGAGCTATGAGTCTCTTTTAGCTGGCATGTTTATGCTATTACTAATGGGCTATGAGTCTCATTTAGCTGGCATGTTTATGCTATTACTAATGAGCTATGAGTCATTTAGCTGGCATGTTTATGCTATTACTAATGAGCTATGAGTCTCATTTAGCTGGCATGTTTATGCTATTACTAATGAGCTATGAGTCTCATTTAGCTGGCATGTTTATGCTATTACTAATGAGCTTTGAGTCATTTAGCTGGCATGTTTATGCTATTACTAATGAGCTATGAGTCTCATTTAGCTGGCATGTTTATGCTATTACTAATGAGCTTTGAGTCATTTAGCTGGCATGTTTATGCTATTACTAATGAGCTATGAGTCTCATTTAGCTGGCATGTTTATGCTATTACTAATGAGCTTTGAGTCATTTAGCTGGCATGTTTATGCTATTACTAATGAGCTATGAGTCTCATTTAGCTGGCATGTTTATGCTATTACTAATGAGCTATGAGTCTCATTTAGCTGGCATGTTTATGCTATTACTAATGAGCTATGAGTCTCATTTAGCTGGCATGTTTATGCTATTACTAATGAGCTTTGAGTCATTTAGCTGGCATGTTTATGCTATTACTAATGAGCTATGAGTCTCATTTAGCTGGCATGTTTATGATATTACTAATGGGCTATGAGTCTCATTTAGCTGGCATGTTTATGCTATTACTAATGAGCTATGAGTCTCATTTAGCTGGCATGTTTATGATATTACTAATGAGCTATGAGTCTCATTTAGCTGGCATGTTTATGATATTACTAATGGGCTATGAGTCTCATTTAGCTGGCATGTTTATGATATTACTAATGAGCTATGAGTCTCATTTAGCTGGCATGTTTATGCTATTACTAATGGGCTATGAGTCTCATTTAGCTGGCATGTTTATGCTATTACTAATGGGCTATGAGTCTCATTTAGCTGGCATGTTTATGCTATTACTAATGAGCTTTGAGTCATTTAGCTGGCATGTTTATGCTATTACTAATGAGCTATGAGTCTCATTTAGCTGGCATGTTTATGCTATTACTAATGAGCTATGAGTCTCATTTAGCTGGCATGTTTATGCTATTACTAATGAGCTATGAGTCTCATTTAGCTGGCATGTTTATGCTATTACTAATGAGCTATGAGTCTCATTTAGCTGGCATGTTTATGCTATTACTAATGAGCTATGAGTCTCATTTAGCTGGCATGTTTATGCTATTACTAATGAGCTTTGAGTCTCATTTAGCTGGCATGTTTATGCTATTACTAATGGGCTATGAGTCTCATTTAGCTGGCCTGTTTATGCTATGACTATACTAGTCTCATTTAGCTGGCAAATGAGCTATGAGTCTCATTTAGCTGACATGTTTATGCTATTACTAATGAGCTATGAGTCTCATTTAGCTGGCATGTTTATGCTATTACTAATGAGCTTTGTGTCTCATTTAGCTATGAGTCTCATTAGCTGGCATGTTTATGCACTAATGAGCTTGAGTCTGCTTAGCTATGTTAATGGGCTATGAGTCTCATTTAGCTGGCCTGTTTATGCTATTACTAATGAGCTATGCGTCTCATTTAGCTGGCCTGTTTATGCTATTACTAATGGGCTATGAGTCTAATTTAGCTGGCATGTTTATGCTATTACTAATGAGCTATGAGTCTCATTTAGCTGGCATGTTTATGCTTTTACTAATGAGCTATGAGTCTCATTTAGCTGGCATGTTTATGCTATTACTAATTAGCTATGAGTCTCATTTAGCTGGCATGTTTATGCTATTATGCTATGAGTCTCATTTAGCTGGCAATTATGCTATTACTAATTAGCTATGAGTCTCATTTAGCTGGCATGTTTATGCTATTACTAATTAGCTATGAGTCTCATTTAGCTGGCATGTTTATGCTATTACTAATGGGCTATGAGTCTCATTTAGCTGGCATGTTTATGCTATTACTAATGGGCTATGAGTCTTATTTAGCTGGCATGTTTATGCTATTATTATTGGGCTATGAGTCTCATTTAGCTACTAATGAGCTATGTTTATGCTATTACTGGGCTATGAGCTATGAGTCTGCTATTTAGCTGGCATGTTTTTATGCTATTACTAATGAGCTATGAGTCTCATTTAGCTGGCATGTTTATGCTATTACTAATGAGCTATGAGTCTCATTTAGCTGGCATGTTTATGCTATTACTAATGAGCTATGAGTCTCATTTAGCTGGCATGTTTATGCTATTACTAATGAGCTATGAGTCTCATTTAGCTGGCATGTCTCATTTATGCTATTATGCTATTACTAATGGGCTATGAGTCTCATTTAGCTGGCATGTTTATGCTATTACTAATGGGCTATGGGCATTTATGGCATGTTTATGCTATTACTAATGAGCTATGAGTCTCATTTAGCTGGCATGTTTATGTTACTCTGCATTATTAGCTGGCATGTTTATGCTATGAGTCTCATTTATTACTAATGAGCTATGAGTCATTTCATTTAGCTGGCATGTCTCATTTATGCTATTACTAATGAGCTATGAGTCTCATTTAGCTGGCATGTTTATGCTATTACTAATGAGCTATGCAGTCTCATTTAGCTGGCATGTTTATGCTATTCTAATTAGCTATGGTCATTGTTGGCATGTTTATGCTATTACTAATGAGCTATGAGTCTCATTTAGCTGGCATGTTTATGCTATTACTAATGAGCTATGAGTCTCATTTAGCTGGCATGTTTATGCTATTACTAATGAGCTATGAGTCTTATTTAGCTGGCATGTTTATGCTATTATTATTGGGCTATGAGTCTCATTTAGCTGGCATGTTTATGCTATTACTAATGGGCTATGAGTCTCATTTAGCTGGCATGTTTATGCTATTACTAATGAGCTATGAGTCTCATTTAGCTGGCATGTTTATGCTATTACTAATGGGCTATGAGTCTCATTTAGCTGGCATGTTTATGCTATTACTAATGAGCTATGAGTCTCATTTAGCTGGCATGTTTATGCTAATGGGCTATGACTTATTTAGCTGCATGTTTATGCTATTACTAATGGGCTATGAGTCTCATTTAGCTGGCATGTTTATGCTATTACTAATGAGCTATGAGTCTCATTTAGCTGGCATGTTTATGCTATTACTAATGGGCTATGAGTCTTATTTAGCTGGCATGTTTATGCTATTACTAATGAGCTATGAGTCTTATTTAGCTGGCATGTTTATGCTATTACTAATGAGCTATGAGTCTCATTTAGCTGGCATGTTTATGCTATTACTAATGGGCTATGAGTCTTATTTAGCTGGCATGTTTATGCTATTACTAATGGGCTATGAGTCTCATTTAGCTGGCATGTTTATGCTATTACTAATGGGCTATGAGCTCTTATTAGCTGGCATTTATGCTATTACTAATGGCTATGAGTCTTATTTAGCTGGCATGTTTATGCTATTACTAATGGGCTATGAGTCTCATTTAGCTGGCATGTTTATGCTATTACTAATGGGCTATGAGTCTTATTTAGCTGGCATGTTTATGCTATTACTAATGGGCTATGAGTCTTATTTAGCTGGCATGTTTATGCTATTACTAATGGGCTATGAGTCTTATTTAGCTGGCATGTTTATGCTATTACTAATGGGCTAT